TATTGGGCTGTGCGGGGTCGGGGTCGGAGCCGGGTGCTGTGGTCCTCGGGGTGGGGTGGGGACAACTGAATGTTTGCCACCTCCGTGTGTCTCGAGATGGGGTACGCCGGGGTTGTCTTCAGCGCTGCCTGGCTCGCTCTCGCTGCGGGAGGGTTGGCATCATCCAGACAGGGGCTGAATCCTGGTCCAGGTCCTGGTGTTGGTTGTGGGGAGCCCCTGCCCCGCACCAGAGACTGCTGTGGGGTAGGGAGGCGTTGGGGTGACCTTTGACAGGTCACCTCTCACCCCCCTCCTATCACTTGCCCGGGGTCTCCTGCAGCCCCCCCTCAGCCCAGCGGGGAGGGCAGATGGGAAGGTGGGCAGGGGACGGAGCATCCCCCGGTGCCTGCGTGGGCTGGGTGCCGGCGGTGGCTTTGCACGCAGGAGCTGGTACAGAAACGTGCTGGCATCTAGGAGCTGCCACGGGAGACGCTGTCAAATGCTCTTTACGCCCCCAGGGACCTTCTCCCACCTCTCCTGTGCACCCCCGGGGTGCCTCACGTGTCCGCGAGTGCCCCCATCTCCCCTCGCCACATCCTTCAGAGGTGCTTTGGGTGCCTTAGCCTTCCTCCCCACCTGCAGCAAAAGACCTGCTCCATGGCTGGGGCAAAAAAGAGCAGAAGTTGGTGGTTTGGATCGAGGTGGCCAATTTCCAAGCCCTCACAGCAGTTACCAAGCCTCAGAGGGGTTATTACCCGAGGCATGACCCAAGGCAAGCCTTGGATGGATGGGGCTTTGAGGGCTTTGACCAGCCTGGTCTAGTGGGAGGTGTCCCTGCCCATGGCAGGGGGGTTGGAGCTCAATGGTCTTTAAGGTCACTTGCAACTCTAACCATTCGATGATTCTACAATGCTTGGGATGGATGCCAGGGGTTCAGTGCAGCACTGTGGATGTGCACCCCGGGGTGCCCGAACACCCCCATCTGAGCTGCTGTGGTTGGGGAAGGGTTCCCTCTGTGACCTCCACTGGGAGCTTATGGATAGAGTAAGGGCCAGGGGGAACATGTGGTAACTTCTCTGGTGGTGAAGGGAAGGGTCAAGGCTCACACCCCGTGCAGAAATCCATCTGCTGGAGGGGCACGATGGGCTGGGTCTGCCCAGGAGCATTTGGAGCAAGGATGGGGTGAAACCTGGACCGTAGCAGGGAGCGGGACACGAGCATGAGGACTTGGCAAGAGAGCAGCGGGGCTGCTGGGGCAACACCTGGAGAAAAGGAGGGCCAGCAGCAAGCACCGAGCTGTGCTGTGTGAGGCAGGGGGGACCAGCCAGGCTCGGGGACTTCGGGATTTGGCTGTTGGATAACCACAGGTTGAGAAGCAGTAGGTAGGAGGCATCCTTGGAGGACCGTGGGGCTTGCTCAGCTTCTGCCCAGGGCTGCTGCCCTCCCGTCTCCTCCGCCTGCTCCCTGGCTCTCTGCGACTCCAGCCCTGTGACCGGGGCATGAATTAATCTCCCGTCCTTTTCCTTCCTTGGGTTACGGCCACCGGGTTTTCCATGCCTTAGTAAGGCATGGCCCCAGCCTCGGCCCCTGTGCGACGGAGGGAGTGAACCCTGGGTTTCTGGCTTACTGCAAGATGTAGCTGAAGGCTCTCGGGGAGTGCAAGTCAGGCTAGAAAAGCATGGTTGGGTTTTTTTTTTAAAAAAAAAAAAAATAAAAAAATCCCTCCCACCATCACAAGATGTTTCTGTCTAACGGCTTCGTTCTCTCCTCGCGAAATAGAAATTACGGCTCTGACACACCGGAGGCGCTTATCTCCAGCTGAATGCCAATTGCTTTCAGGAACAAAATGTTTGAAGTTCCTTTAAGGTGAAGGCAGCAGCATGGTCCCTGCTGCCGCTTTCAGCCTCAAAAACCTGCTGTCATCACCCTGACTCGGGTTG